ATAGTAATCATAAGTTGGAACACTCTGTAGTTTTTATCATATACAAGGTGATCCTGTTTTCTTATTAGAGCAGTTTTAATAAGTAGTAGGGGAGTGGGGGCAATTTTAAGATTTATTTCTACAGGGTGTTTCAAAAAAATTGTGCCATCCCTCGTGGGGAGATTCCTCATGTAAAAATAAGATTTATTTTTCGTATCAGCATAGGTCCGATTCTGCTGTGTTAGAATCTTAATATTTTTTCGATTTATTATAATTTTCTTCAAATTACTTTTAGCGTTTGAAGGTAAAAGTTAATATAAATGCGACATATTTTAAAGCTTGATTCTTCATAAAAAATATGAAAAAAAGTTCCTATAAACATGGATATGGAAATGCATAGTTTTAGAGATACTGGGTGATAAAACTCTTTAAAATAGTAATAATATTATTTAATAATAAATTAGGTAAAATAAATAATTTTTTAATTTAAGTTTTATTTTAATTTTATTAATTGTGATTAATAAAATTACGTTTATCTCATCAAGAAGGCCGAATTCGACAAAATATCAAGAGATAACTTTTAATTTGCATTAAACGGCCTACACAATTTTGATATCAAAAGAAAAAAAAATCAGTGGCGCACATGTTTCTTTTGAAAAATATTCTATTGGTAACCCATATGCACGTCCCTGATGAATTTATAGACAATTTTTTAGCATTAAAATATATATTATACTTATATTAACTCAAAACAAAAATTTTGTTCGAATCACCAAAAGCACTCGGAAGAAAATTATAATAAACCGAAAGATTATTAAGATTTTAACACCCTGTAGCTACGAAACAAAGCAGAATCGTACCTATGTTGATATGAAAAATAAATCTTATTTTTACGTGAGGAATCTCCCTTCGAGAGATGGCACATGCTTTTTGAAACACCCTGTATATTTTAAAATGATTTTTTTATTGACTGTTAAAGGTATGCAAAAAAAGATAAACCACCCTGTATATTAGCTGAATTTTGACATTTAGCTAAGAAAATATGTTTATGGAGCATTTCTCAAAAAAATTGATATTTTTATTTATAGAAATATAATATAAACTGTACTCAAAAAAAGCTTTTTTTTATATCAAACAAAACAAACATAGACAACTATCAAAAACCTATTTATTCTTCATATTATAGCACTATCATGTATATATTATATAAATAAAATTGCAGTCTTTTGCTAAGAAAAAAAATTAAAAATCAATCAAACAAAACATCTTGTAGGCCCTTATAAACTAACAGTATTAAATAAGATTGAAAAAAAGGAACACATAAGAATTACACCAATAATATGATACCGTTTAATCTATTTATTAAACAATGCAAGAAAAACCAAGCAGTTCAGAGCAAAGAACACCCTGTATAGGTACAGTGTGCGATCAAGAAATTTGAACACGATTGCTGAAAAAAATATATTTTAAGATTCACAGAAATGATTTATTCTTGATAAAAAAAGTCTCAACGGAAAATGTAAAATTAAGGGTCAGGAATATTTATTCCTGGGAAACTTAAAATATGTTTTTTCATGTGTCCAAATTTCTTGAACACACCGTATAACACGTTACTTAAACGATAAACTAAGATTTTATGACTATATGCATCTAGTAAGAAAATAAATGCCTATGAAATGCAAAAATTGTTCCACATAAAATGCGACCACTAACAATCACTTGGTTTTGCATTAAATTCATCTCCATTTCGTTAAACCTTTCCATATACTCTTCTAACGACACAAAACTGCAAATTGCTTTATCACAAGAACATAATATCAATATATTAATTTTATCATTTAATATTAACACATATAGAAGAAGCTAGACTATACAACTAGGTATTGAGAGAAAATATAATACATGTTAATCCACTGTTCAGAAAATTAAATTTATATCAGGTCCAAAGTTCGAAAAATTTAACCATATTTTTCTAAAATATGAGGTAATAGTATCTAATAGTAGCACATAATTTTAAAAATATTTTTGAAAATATACAGGTGTTACAAATGTTTGTAATCGCAAAACATTTTCCGTTGCACGTCATCAATTATCGACATTGACACTAAAGTCTATCATCATCATCATCATCATCATTTAGCTTATACCGTCCACTGCTGAACAAAAGCCTCCCTTAACTCTAGCCATTTCCTTCTATTTTGTGCCACTTGAATCCAGTTTCCAGCCACCCTCTTAATGTCATCTGTCCATCGACTAGAAGGTCGTCCTCTGCTTCTATAGGCCTCGTGTCTCGGTCTCCATTCCACAAGTCTCTTTGTCCACCGTCCATCTGTCATCCTAGCTACATGTCCCGCCCAATTCCATTTAAGATGTAAGACAGATATCACCGCATCTCTTACTTCCGTTCGATTTCGTATTGTATGATTGGGTATTTTATCTCTGAGTGTAACTCCCAACATGGACCTTTCCATTTTCCGTTGCATGACCTGTATTCTATGTATGTTCTTTTTTGTCAAAGTAAGCGTTTCAGCTCCATGCGTGAGGACAGGCAAGACACACTGGTTAATGATTTTTCTTCTTAAACATATGGGAATATCAGATCTCAGTATATGCTTTAGTTTGCCAAATGCCGCCCACGACAAATCTATTCTTCGTAGAATTTCGTGGGTCTGATTATCCCTTCTAATACCGGTCTCATGACCTAAGTACTTATATATATGCACTTGTTCCAAAGGTATGTTATTAATGTTTAAATTTCCACTTAGTACTAGGTTTGTCATGTATTGTGTCTTTGACAAGTTAATTTTCAAACCGACTTTTTCCGAAGCATCATTCAGGCATATCCAGCATATTCTGTGCCTCCTGTATGTTGTCTGTTATTAAAATAATGTCATCTGCAAAACAGAGATGATTTATCAATTTTCCATCGATTTTAATTCCTGTTGAATCCCATTTTATCATTTTTAACATACTTTCTAGCACAGCAACGAATAGTTTAGGGGAGAGTGTGTCGCCTTGTCTTACCCCTCGATCGATATTGAATTTGTCTGTGCATTGATTTGTCAATATTCTGACGTTTTCCGTGGCATTATCATTTATATGTCTCATGATTGAGGAGTATCGATGATCGATGCGATTCTCACTTAGTGTCTCTAGAAGCTTCCACTGGTCTACCGAATCGAAGGCCTTCTCGAAATCCACGAAGACAAGCATTAGTGGTCTATTATACTGAATGCATTTCTTGATAAGGACCTTGACTGTTAGAAGATGGTCATTTGTTCCGTAACCTGATCGGAAACCTGCTTGTTCGCTCGAAAGAAAAAAATCTATTTTATTTGTCAAACGCTTGGTGAGTATTTCAGTAAATAATCTGTATACGTGGCTAAGAAGGCTGATGGGCCTATAGTTTTTAATTTCTTCTTTCACCTTTCTTGTGTACAATAATGTGATGAGGTTATTTCTTCTTCAATGCATTTATTAAATAGGCCATTTAAAGCTTTGATGATTTCTGGTCTTCCTTCGTTGATTGACTCTATTACCAGTCCATCGTCGCCGGCAGCTCTATTGTTTTTCATATCTCTAAGGGCACTGATAATTTCTTCCTCGGTTATTTCTGGAATTTATTCCGACCCCTGATTTATTACCTTTCGGATGTCGGTTTTGATCCCCTGCTGTTTTGATGTGTAAAGTTCTTGATAGAAAAGTTTAATAGAGTGTAGGATTTCCTGTTTGTGTGTTACTATATTGCCGTGCATATCCTTGATCTTTTGTATTTCTTTTCTTCCCATTGTACTATTTCTCAATACCTTAAAACTTTGATCCTTCTCTATGACGTTCCTAAAGTATATAAACCTGACTAAATGAAATTTTGGCAAAAATGTTTAAATTTGCAGCTGTTTAAATTAAAGCAACTCTTCATTTTACTTTATAGAACAAATGATATTTTATTTAGATTAAAGCCGCAAAAAAGTTTAAACCGAATTTTATTATCGCTCTGTTGGTCACATTGCGTCATGTTCAGCAACGTTGTCTTTTATTATTTGACAATTATCCTAGTGTCAGTCATTATTTTGTATAATTGTGTTGTTGTTGAATCTTTGGGAGTAATTCTTGTTTTTTGTCTATTTTCATAGTCCTTTTTAAAAAAATTATCACTGCACTTTTAAGCACAAACAGTTTTAAGAACTAAATTTTCGAGTTTTTGTATTGCATTTCTTGAAATTGTGTTGAAAATATGCCGAAGCATTTAAACAGTCGAAGCAAAGAGCTTGTAACTTCCCTGTTTTTTTTTAAACTATTTTGAACAGAAAAGTAAGCTTTATTGATAAGCACATTATACCATTTTCAAAGTTAGTGTTTATTAAATTCTGTGATTATTAGTTTGTACATTAATAGCACCCTCTTACTTGTTATTACCACTTATCGCGTTGTAAGATGTAAATCAATAAATAAATAACCCATAATAACGCTTATAATAATCTTCATAATGGACTAGTTTTTGCCAATATATAATAAGTAAAATAAGCTATAAAACAAATAAATCAATTAATCACTAAAATATTAGTTATTAAATTAAAAATAAAACGTAAAACTATTTATGAAATGATATAATAAATGTGTTGTTTGTCAATTTTAAATTAAGATTCATTCCATAAATCCATCACAATCTGGCAGCGCTGTCGCCATCGCCTGTCTCTCAAAGTTGATAACGTGCATCGAAAATTGTTGTGCGATTACTATATTATGTTTTTGCTCAGTAAATTTCTCATTGCCCTATTCCAAAAATCATAATCATACACCTACATCATACGTGTTTTTTATTGATTGTATAAAAGGAATACAGTTTTAAATAAAATTTACTTCACATTTAAAACTTTCTCAAAGTTTAAAACCACAAATTATCGGAGCTTTTTAACGTAAGTACTGTATATTAGAATCCCTTTCTAATGTACAGGGTGTATAACTGGGCAGAAAACCTGATATATTTTTTGGAACAGTGGGTTACACTGTATATTGATCTATTGCTACAATTCCTGTTATAAAACACTATATTTTATATTTTAAAACCTATAATATCTAACATATACATATACGTAATATTCACTTGTATTGTTATTAGACAAATTCATATCTCTCAATATTTAGTTATATTTTTAACATTTAATGATTCATTTTTTAGGATTAGAGGGTGAGCTCTTTACAATTCTATTTATTTCTTCGCTAAACACATTTCTCATTCGTTTAAAACGTAAACTTTTATTTAATTATTTATCTTTAAAGTTAACTTGACGTTTAACGCCATTATGACATAAGCCAATGCCGTGCGAACAACCGTTGGTTATGGTTGACAGATAAACAATGCTTTAAACGTCAGTTGTCAACCAATTGGTAGACAATTGACGTTTAAAACATTGTTTATCTGTCAACCATACCATAACCAACGGTTGTTCGATCGAAATTGGCTATAATAAACTTTGCAAAAATTCAACGTCACTCGTTGACGACAGTGCCATCTCTGAGCGCCACGAAGAAGCTTGAATAAACTATTTTTACATTTTTCCGATAGATGGCAATAGTAGTTATATCAAGCTCCTAATAATATCAACCAGCGGCTTAACATTAAAAATAAAACAGTCTATATTAGAAAGGTTTTTAAAGTTTTTTTGACTAGTTTTTAGTTTTCTAGATTTATTTTAGGTTTAGTTTTTTTAATAAAGTGTTATTCTCAATATTTTTTAAAGTCTGATTCCTAAGATGATATATAGAATAGTATGTGTGATATAAAGTGTCGTGGAGGTAAACATAAGGGAAGTTTTTTGTAAGTTATTATCGGACTTTTTTTGTATAATGGACATATCTAGCGTACAGAAAGATTGTTATTTTTGAGTAAATAAGATTTTTGGTGATTTTTTTTCCTTTAAAACTCCAGACGGTATGCGGAGCAAGAAGTTTCGTGGTCTTGGAGGTTGATGGTGCAACGACTGGCTGATGGAGATAGGTCAATCTTGAATCTGGAAAGGAGTTCTTCGTTTTCTGCTATCCAGTAGCCCAGAATGTCGGTGTCGTAAGTTGGAATGATAGTTACTTCTGTAAATCAAGTACAATTAATGAATATAAATACTCAGTGCAATAGACCATTCCAGAATGACGTCACTGACCATATACAGGGTGCTACAAATTCGAGGTACGAGCATCGGTATCTCGGTAACCGTAATAGATACGAACATGGTTAAATTGGGGCAAAGTTGCGCTTTGGGATGTTCACCAAGGAGCAATCAAAAAAGTTTTAAAAATTTCAAGGATTGCTGAGTTTTTTGGAAAAAACGTATTTTTTTGAAAATCAGTTTTATTTTCTCCTGTCATTGTTTATTTTAGAAAATCAAAAAACTAGTTGCACATTCTCATAGCCACTTTATTAGGGCTATCTCATGGTATTTTCAGATTTTCAAATAAGCTGATAATTTGGGAGATACAAAGGCCAACTTATTTTTTTTAAATACGGACCTGCATTTTTTATTTCAGGTTTTGAAAGAACTCGGGCTCCTGAGTACAATGATATGCCACATTCTATACTTTTTTTTTGTTTTGGGTACCTTAACAACAAGAAAACTAATTAATTATTATTTAAAATAATTTCAAGTCCGACTCTGGTTTTTAAAATTATTTATTCTGATTATATTCATCGCAACAATATTGAAAACAATTTACTTAAACTAATTTCAAGTCCGGCTCTGTTTTTTTTTAATATTTAATCTACCGGGTGCGTCTCAAAAGTGGCTAACCCCCTATAACTTTTTTATTTTTTCAGATAAAAAAACGAGGTGCGGTATATTAGTATATGATATATATTAGGAGTGATTGACGTATTCAATAGTTTTTGGTCACTTCCTGTTTCACCGGATACGACTACAACTTTGATTTTTAAATGGTAACCTTGGTATTTTTTTACTTTATTCGATAAAAAATGACACACTGTATCGAATGACATATCATATGTCAACTTTTGACATATTCGCTCAAAAACAAATTGTATTGTAAATTTCAATCTAGAGTGGCTGTGTTAAAAACACTAATTTTTAATCAAAGAGCCTTGGAAAAATATATTTAATCGTCTAATGTTTTTAGTGTCTTATCCTGGCCGGTTATAAAAGATGCCCAAATCGTATTTTTAATCATATCTCAATTTTTTCAAATGGAACGAGGGTGGCTCATTAGCATATTTGGAAAAAGCATTTTTTTACGAATAATTTGATACCATACACTTGGTATTTCGAGGCAAATTGTCATTGTGAACTGCATGTTATAATTTCAAATAAACCATAATATGCTAAAATGTCAAAAGTTGATATATGATACGTCATTCTATTCAGAGTGCCATTTTCTATCGAATAAATTAAAAAAATACCGAGGGTGCCATTTAAAAATCAAAACTTGTAGTTATTTCCGGTGAAACCGGAAGTGACCGAAAACAACTGAATATGTCAATCAATTCTAATTTAGATCATATATTAACATACCAAATCACGTTGTTTTATCTGAAAAAATAAAAAAGTTATAGGGGTGAGCCACTTTTGAGACGCACCCGGTATATATCGCTATCGCACAATATTGATAACCTTTCATTAAATATAATACCACAGATTGATAATACGATGTAAAAAGGTGTTTATTTTTATTTGTATAAACCTTTATTTATAAAGTTTAAATATTATAAATTTTAAATATCATCTGGATGAAAAGCCTAACCACTTCACATAAAATTGTCTAATATTATTTTGCTGCCGAGGACCTAGTAGTATTTCAACTAGATCAATACAAGGAAACTTTGTCTTCTGTAATTCGGCCTCATAAAACACCCCTTAATTGGTTGACCTTCTACTGATTCTAGGATAATGAAAATTGAGGATTAAAGAAAATTAAGAATTAAAGAAAATATGTCTATAAGGCTATAAAAAAGTAAAACACAAACAAATCAATGCAAAGGAATTGTTTGTATACGGTTTGTATGCCTCCCAGTGAAAATGGCGGATCTGTCAAAGTCACGTTGTTCTGGAATGGTCTATAAGATTACACCACAGTTTAAAGAATATAAATATATCAGTTGACCCACTCTAAGGAATTCTATTGTTATTTTGACTTCAAAGGCGGCCCGTGACCCTTCGAGGTGACAAAAAATTTGTACGTTTACCGGGTGCAGCGGAAGTGCTATTTTGTCAGTCAGAACGCTGGCCGTATACGAGGGATCAACTAAAAATACTAAGGAATTTTAATATACCAAGTAGAAAAATAAAAATACAGTAGGTACTAGTTTTATTGATTAACAGTTTTAGGCGTCTTTAATAATCGATCAATATTTATTAGTATTTAGTATTAAATATACATTAATATTAAAATATTAGATATATTATTCTATCCTAATTCTTTGTAATATGGAAATGTCAATAGGGTAATTATTATTAATAATTATTATGGAAACCCCATATAAAAAAGTATACTAAATAAATATACTTAATAAGTTAATTTTTTTAATATATATAATAATAATTTGCATATTTCTTAAATTATAGCATGTTTTGCTTTATAGATGTTTGCATTTTACTTTAATTACCTACCCGGAAAGCCCAAATTTTATCGTAAGGTAATAAAAGTACCTTTGCATACAACTTGTGTTGCCATTGTCAATTTTTTTGGAATTTTTTCTAAATTTTATGATTATCATGAACAGTAATTATGACTGTTAGTAGTTAATTGTGTAATAAATTTTACTGTTCGATAAAATTTAGTAAAAACCGAAAAAAAATTGACAATGGGTAGATAACTCAAGTTAAATGCAAACAGCTAAAAAGCAAAACATGCTATAACTTAAGAAATATGCAAATATAATTTATTACAGTATTTACTACTAATTGAAGAGCACACGGGAAAAATAATGAAAGTACCAAAAAGGGGGCTGCACCTTTTGGTACCTAAATAAACGGGAATATCGATAATGGCTACATATAAACAGGCATTTAAAAATGGGAAAAACGATATAAACTCGGATATACAGTCCATGCGTAATTTCAATTAAAAAAAAACCGGTTTCCTGAACATTTATCATTTCTGGATACTCATCGTTTTTCCCATGTGCTCCTCAGTTGTTATATTTACTGTTACATAAAATTTAGTAAAAACTCTAAAAAACTTGTCAATAGCAGAAGAAGTTGTATGCACGTATTTTTATTTCCTGACGATAAAATTTGGACTTTCCAGGTAGGTAGTTAAAGTTAAATACAAACATCTAAAAATTAAAACATGCTATTTAAAAAAATGCAAATATCTTAAATAATAATTTAATATGCACTTTGCAAACCGGTAAATACTGCAAAATCCGAAACATAATAGTAAAGTATCTACTACTACTCTAAAATATCTACTAAAATAATGAACTAATTGTTAAAAATAAATATTTTGTGCATATTTCGAGTAAAATCTTTTCTTAATTTATATGTATATTATTAAAACCATTTTTTCATAGTTAGGTTTCCATAATTATAATATACTTAATATGTCAAATGCTTTAATTATTATATACTTAATATCCTATACTATATAAACACATACCTTCCTTCATCTTTTGGCCACCTAAAGAACGATATATTGTCTGTCATTCTACTTTCACAACCATCCACTGCACAAATATTTCTAGTAGACATTTTATTCACAATTCGAACAAAACAACTGAAACACTATTTTTGGTTCACCCTATGCGTGGGACCGAAAACAAAACTAAAATAAACTTGGAACGCTGTGTACACGTCGAGCAACGGATGTAGACTGACCCAAGTCTACAAGACAGGCGGGGAGCGGCTGGAGGAATTTTGATACGGGCGAAGAGTGGGTCAACTGATATATCTATATTCTTTAAACTGTGATTACACTAACCTAAATCTTTATCCTCCCAAGTTTGTTTAGCTTCAAGTAAAGCATCGTACACCTGTCTACTCGGCTCCAGCCCAGAAAACACGTAATACCTTGCCCTAACCTTCCTGAAGAACTCCACATAAGAATAATAATGGTTTCCATGATGAGGAACATATGTCAAATCCACATAAACAGGAGTCACTTTCTTTAACCTCATTTTTGAGGGAGATTCAGCTCTCTTTTTATCATCGTTCAGCTTATTCTTAGCTGTGACGTAAGCAGGAAGCTTTTTCTCCTTCTTAGGTGTCCCCTTTTCGTTATTATTTGGGGGAGCTGGACTGGGGAGTCCCAATGGTTTGCCCCAGGATGCTATCGGGTCTGAATCATCATCAAAATAGACACTGGCTGTCATGGGGTCGGGTTTTTGCTGGGCACCAGTGACAAAACTGGAAGTGATGACTTCGTCGTCTTCTGAATCGTCATTGAGGAGTTGTTTGGAGTATTTGGCCTTGGTGAGCTCGTACAAGTGGCTGGGTGAGGCGTGTTCGAGCTCGTGGTGGTGAGTTTGAACGGTAGATTGTCCTGGAAGACCGCCTAAAAAATAAATATTTATTTAGTTTACATTTAAAAATTCCACAACAAATACACTCAAAGGAGAAATTTTTGGTCAATATTATGATGTCGACACCGAATTTTTTATTTTCGTAAAAACATTAACCAGTCTAGCGTTCAAATCCTTTCCTCTTAGGCCTATCAAAAATAAGCATAATAAACCTTGTACCACTAAAGGCATATCTTCTAAAAATCTGCGTTCATTATCTCACTTAAAAAAATTCTCAGACAGTGTCTTCTTCCACAATTACGTAAAACTATACACAAAAATTTATCATAAGACTATAAGAGCCGCTAAGGACCTTTATTATAATAGGAGAATAGTCAATTCTGGTAATGTTGCTAGAGAAACATGGTTTATTGTGAATGATTTGAGAAACAATCTCTGCCTCACCTGAGAACCTTAACAATTACTTTGTAAATGTAGCGAAAAACTTAACTAATACCATATGTCCTTCTCATGATCCACTTTCATATCTTTCTAATGATAATGTAAACTTACACAGTTTCATTTTTTCGCCCATAGTTTTAGAAACGTCGAAAATGATGGGCAGTTCATATTAGTATATAGTTCACAATAATCACCAAAGCCGGCTTGTCATATTGAAAAATAACTTCAAAAAGAAATGATAATTGAAAAAATTGCAAATTATTGGTGGCAAGTTCATTTCGCTCTTAAAAATTAACCAAGGCATGTATTGACATGATCCAAAAAATAAAATGCTCAGGAGACATGGTTCTGATTGTAAAATTATATTTCAGGAAAATTTACACACAAAATTATTACACAGGGTGTTTTAAAGTTGGAGTAAAAAAACAACCCCTCAATTGGCTCTGTATAATATGCTAAATACTAAAGTTTATACAAAAATTGAGTTTACGAATTGAAGTTGATATAATTATATACAGACTTGCTAAAAAATTCATGAAAATAGAGCTAAAAATAACCATAATATAACACATTAAATTTGACCAAAATTTTCTCCATTGCGTTTTTTACATCTATGTATATTATGGGTCTATTATCATTTCCAATACACTTACCTATAAAACTAGCAGTCATCATGTCAACCTCTTCAGTCTTTATCTCCTCTTCTCCAAAACCCACCACGGCGCTCCTATATCTAGCTTGTGTAATCTCGTACAAATGCGTGGCCGGTACTGTTTCTTGAACCACCTCCGGTAAACTACCATAAAACGACATACTCATCGGGTCCATCTTCATGTCCAGCTCGTCTAAATCTGACTGAGAGTGCGCCACCTGAGACTTCGTACTCAAATCATCATCGTCAGTCTCAGTCTGCTCACTCAGACCACTGTCCAACTTCGAAGACGGCGATTTAGCGTCTCTAGAAATCGGACTCACCGGTACAGTGGGAGGAGTGGTCTTTCCTGACAGCTCTTGAGGTGTTTTCGACACAGGAGTGCTTGTTGTTGCCTTTGAAGACTCTTCTGCAGGTTCAACATAAACTTTGGCATCACAAATATCACGATAATCGCCTCTTTCGTTATCTAGGAACGTTTCGATAGCATCTCTGTGAGAGGGAGCTTCAGTTTCAGTCTTAATACTGATCTCGACGTCGGATATTGATAGTTTCTTTGCTTCAGGAGCTATCGCTAGACTCAGAGTGTCTTTCGGTAACTTCTCCATGCTTTCCTTCTCACTCTTGTCTGGTTGACTAGAAATAACTGTTTCTTCTAATACTACGTCGCTCTTAAAACTAGGTTTTTCATCACTTTTAGCTATCACATCTTTTTCCTTTGTTTCTATTTTGTCTTTGGTAGTTACGTGCTCACTAGTCTCTAGATAAATAGATCCATCGAATTTATCCGAGATAATTTCACCATCTTTTGTGTCTTCTACAACTTCTTTTTCTACATCTTTCTTCTCCTTTTCATCGGTATCCTTTTCCTTAGGTATAGCCACAGATTCAGATAATTTGTTCGAGTCAATTACTTCATCCTTCGCTATGTGGCAAGTATCGAAAGATATACTTTTAGCTAAATCAGACATCTCGTTAAAACTTTGCTGGACATGAGCCACACGTTCTTCAATTTGCTTCTCTTCTTCTTTAACTATGTCCTTATCAACTTTGAAATCTTCAGGACGCTTGCATTTATCGAAGGAAATATCATGAGATAATTTCTTGAGATCTTCAACTTCTTTTTCTACCTTCTCAACTTGTTGTTCTATTTGCTTCTCTTCTTTCTGTAAGACTTCTTTGTCTACTTTAAAATCTTCTGGAGGTTTGCATTTGTCAAAAGAAATATCATGAGATAATTTCTTGAGATCTTCAACTTCTTTTTCTACCTTCTCAACTTGTTGTTCTATTTGTTTCTCTTCTTTCTGTAAAACTTCTTTGTCTACTTTAAAATCTTCAGGAGGTTTACATTTGTCGAAAGAAATATCATGAGATAATTTCTGGAGATCTTCAACTTCTTTTTCAACCTTCTCAACTTGTTGTTCTATTAGCTTCTCTTCTTTCTGTAAAACTTCTTTCTCTACTTTAAAATCTTCTGGAGGTTTGCATTTGTTGAAAGAAATATCATGAGATAATTTCTTGAGATCTTCAATTTCTTTTTCAACCTTCTCAACTTGTTGTTCTATTTGCTTCTCTTCTTTCTGTAATACTTCTTTCTCTACTGTAAAATCTTCTGGAGGTTTGCATTTGTCGAAAGAAATATCATGAGATAATTTCTTGAGATCTTCAACTTCTTTTTCAACCTTCTCAACTTGTTGTTCTATTTGCTTCTCTTCTTTCTGTAATACTTCTTTCTCTACTTTAAAATCTTCCGGAGGTTTGCATTTGTCGAAAGAAATATCGTGAGATAATTTCTTGAGATCTTCAACTTCTTTTTCTACCTTCTCAACTTGTTGTTCTATCTGTTTTTCTTCTTTCTGTAAAACTTCTTTCTCTAATTTAAAATCTTCTGAAGGTTTGCATTTGTCGAAAGAAATATCATGAGATAATTTATGGAGATCTTCAACTTCTTTTCCAACCTTCTCAACTTGTTGTTCTATTTGTTTTTCTTCTTTCTGTAAAACTTCTTTGTCTACTTTAAAATCTTCCGGAGGTTTGCATTTGTCGAACGGAATATCATGAGATAATTTCTTGAGATCTTCAACTTCTTTTTCTACCTTCTCAACTTGTTGTTCTATTTGCTTCTCTTCTTTCTGTAAAACTTCTTTGTCTACCTTAAAATCTTCTGGAGCCTTGCATTTGTCAAATGAAACTTCATGAGATAACTTTTTAAGATCCTCGACTTCTTGTTCTATTTTTTCAACTTGTTGTTCTATCTGTTTCTCTTCTTGCTTTACAATTTCTTTGTCTACTTTAAATTCTTCAATATGTTCGTATTTGCCAAAGGTAACTTCATCAGCTATTTTAGTCAAATCTTCTGTACTTTTTCCTAACTTCTCTGTCTGTTCGTCAATCTTGCGTTGCTCTTCTTCGATAACCTTTTTGTCAACCTCAAATGCATCCAAAGATTGACATTTCTCAAATGGTACTTCTTTCGACAACTGTTTAAGGTCTTCTAAACTTTTTCCCATATGTTCTACTTCCGCTTCTATTTGTTTCTCCTCTTTTTTAAGAATTTTGTTATCAACGTGATAATCTTCAACAGGTTTACACTTGTCAAACAAAACATCATCAGATAATTTAGTTAGATCTTCAAAGCTCTTCCTGAGATGATCCACTTGTTCTTCTATTTGTTTCTCTTCCTTTTTGATAACTTCCTTGTCTACTTTAAAGTCATCAGGTGATTTACATTTTTCGAAGGAAGCTTCTTCCGACAGTTTGGATAAATCTTCAATGCTTTTTCTTATATGGTCCACCTGTTGATCTATCTGCTGTTCTTCTTTCTTAATAATCTCTTCGTCCAGTTTGAAATCTTCAGATAGCTTACATTTATCAAAAGATACTTCTTCAGATATTTTAGACAAATCTTCTATGCTTCTTCTTATATGGTCTACCTGCTGATCTATTGCCCTCTCTTCTTCTTTAATAATTTCTTTATCCACTTTAAAATCTTCTGATGGTATGCATTTATCAAATGATACCTCGTTAGCCAGTTTAGATAGATCTTCAATACTTTTTCTGACATGATCTACTTGTTGATCTATGTGCCTTTCTTCGTCTTTAATAATATTCTTATCTACTTTAAATTCTTCTAAATCTTTTGCTATGTGGTGTACCTCCTGTTCAATTTGTCTTTCTTCGTCTTTAATGATTTCTTTGTCCACTTTAAGCTCTTCAAATGGTTTGGGTATATCAAAACCTTTACCGTCACTTGATTTAGCAAGACCTTCAACACTTATTCCTATTTCTTCAACATGCTGACTTACTAATTTTGCTTCATCTTTAATTTCCTTTTCTATTTTAAATTCATCAAGTAGTTTAGATTTATTAGCAGGCGTGTCTTCATGTGATTTTATTAGATCTTCCACACCATTACTTATTTTAGTTGCTTTTTCATCTATTTTTACTTCTCCATTTTTGGCAGTTATATCTTTTGTTAGCTGATGGTCAAGATCATGGATTGTTTTGGACTCCAAAGTCTGGCTAATATGTTTATCGAATTTATGATCAATACCATCTATTTCCGCAATCTCTTGTGCAATACTAGCACTGTCCGTCTCTTTGAAACCATTAGTTAAGTCAGCAGGTTTTTCGTTTTTAGTGCTTTCATCTTCAGGCAGTATATCGTGTAATACTGACTTAGCCGCATCTCCAATAGCGGTAAATATTGAACCTAAAGCTTTCTCGGATTTTTCTATGAACTCTTCAGCCTGCTCTACAACATTAAGTTCATGTTCTTGTTGTTTAGTAACTCCATCTTCTGATTTACCTTTTTCTACCTCATCTACGGTTTTAATTTTTTTCTCAATAACATCTTCCAATTCTTTGAACTCTTCCTGTAATTTATGAGTCTCGTTCAAAATTGGTTTAAGGTCTCCGTCTAGCTTTCCATCTTGAATTTGACCAGAGAGCACTTTAATGTCTTCTAATGTTTCTTCAGATTCTTTTTCGATCTTCTTTTCTAATTTAGAAATATCTTCTTTTGTAGTTTCGTCGGTTTTTGATAGTACATCTTGAAGTTTCCCTTCCAGATGTTCAATGTTTGACGATATAGTTTCTTTAGCAGACTCAATAATGCCATCGATTTTTTCACCTACTTTTTCTTTAATTTCTTTGACGTCGCTTGAAAGATCAGTTGAAACTTCTTTTAGTTTTTCTTTTTCTTCAGAAATCTTTGTTTCTACATCTTTTAAAACATCGTGTTGTTTTTCAGAAAATGTATTCTTAACATCGTCAATTGTTTGTTCTATTACCTTTTTTTCTTCAGTTGCTTTTTTATCAATATCGGTAGCAAGCTTCGACGCAGTGTCGCCTAGAGAATCTTTTATTCCTTCAGTTTTAGATAATATATCTCCACTCTTTTGGACAACGAACTCCTCAGCATCTTTAACAAAATCTTTAGATTTCTCTAGAGAAACGTTAATATCTTTAGAAATTTCTTCTTTAATGTCAACAGCTTTGGTTTTGGATTGTTCTACTAGTTCATTAACTTCTTTCTTTATATCATCAACAATTTTGTGTCCACCTGATTCAATTTTGTCTTCACTGGCCTTAAGAACATCTTTAGACTTATCTAAAACAGTGTGAACTTCTTTGGCAATCCCGTCTTTGAATTCAGAAGATTGATCTTTTATCTCTTGGAAGATATTCTTAGATTCAGTTAGAACATCGCTTGCTTTCTGCTCCAAACTGGGAACTACTTTCTCTAATACTTTTTCTTCTATATCCTTCGCTTGGGACAAGATTGCTTCAGCTTTATGACTAACTTTTTCTTTGCTTTCAGTGATAACTTCTTTAGTTTTGTCCAAAACAGGTTCAGAAATTTTGGAGACATCTTCTTTTATTTCAGACATGGCTTCTTTTAATTCATCTGACAAGTTACTAGGTGCATCAACTACTTTTTCTTTAATATCACAAACTTTTTGTTCAAAATCTTTTTCAGTTTCTTTAGATTTGTCGATCACTGCATCTAAATTCTCAGATACAGTTTTCTTCGCATCGTCAACTTTACTGGTAGCTTCTTGTTTTATATCTTTTTTACTTTCTTCGAATAAATTAGTGTGAAGATCTTTATCAATGTCCTCTTTAATGTCACTCAGTTTCTCTTCAACATGCTTCTTAACATCTTCAATTTTATCTATGGCAACATTTACACTTTTAGATATAGAGCCCTTGGTCTCAGAATCTTTACTAATATCTTCTGACTTTGGCAAAGCAACTTTGGCTGTATCCACGGCCTGTTGTACAGTTTTCTCCACAGTATCTTTGACACCGACAGTTTCTTCTATTACTTTTTCCTTAACTTCTTCAGTTTTTTTAATAGTATCTTTTGGTTTGTCAACAATGTGATGAAATTCTTCACTCACTTCATCTTTAATTTCTGTGATGTATTTTTCCAGACCTTCTTCAATCTTGTGTCCAAATTCACTGAGAGACTCAAAAATACCATGCTTCTCTTCAATAACTGGTTTCTTATCTTCTTTATCAACTAGCTCTATCGTAGAAGAAATTTTTTCTTTAACATGTTCAACATCTGGTTTCTTATCATCCTTATCAGTTGCTGTTTTTGTAGACTCTTCAGTTACTTCTTCGCCTGTACCCAATACGGCATCCTTAACACTCTCAAACGTATCTTTGATGGATTCAAAGAACCCGTGATGATGCTCAGGTACAACTTCATCCTTCTCCGAATCTTTTTTCTCTACTTGTTTCTCGGTAACTTGTTTAATTGTCGAACACGTTTCAGACGTTTCTACTATAGAGGACTTTTGAGATTGAGTCTTCTGGGATGGTTCAGGAGAAGACCTGCCTGAACTTTCTGAACTTCTTGAAAAAGTGATTGTTCCAGGTGGACAAATTTCAATTTCCTCACCACCGTCTTCACTTGAAGCTGTGACAAGCATGCGATGTACGGTTCCATCACCTTTATCCTCTTTTACATCTACTGTTTCCTCGGTTTGGCTTTTTATATCAGAAATCATTCTCGAAGACTCCTCGATTAATTCCCGAGCATCAGACAAAAGATCTTTTTTCTTGTCTTTCTCAACAATTTCCTTGATTTCTTCTTCTATTACAGCAGGTTCTTCAGGAATGGGTGGGATTTCGTCTATACCAACGATTTCTCTTTCGACAATGGGCGAGTCTTGCGTAGTAATATGAGTTTCTCGAAGTTCTTGCGTAAACGCTAGTTTTCCTTGCAATTCTTCTAGAGGTGCTTCGGATTTAAGAACTTCTGCAACACTGACGACAATTTTTTTCACGTCTTCCTCTCTTTCAGCTGGTGATTTTCGTCCTAACTCAGATTTATCGATATCTAGTTCTCTTAATATCTTAATTTGTTCATCTTCCGGTGATGAATCGGACAAAACTACCTCTTCCGCATGTTCAGGAGCCTTAACAGACTTTTCAATATGAATTTCTTCCTTTTTAAGTAACGTATCTTCAACTGTATGTTTAAGATCTTCAAGCTTATCAGTTACTTCAGCTATTTTATCTAAGTTTTCCTTAAGTACATGGTCGGATTTCTCTGTTTTAATATCATCAGGTTTTGTTACTGGTACTTTTGGTTCTTCCGCAGCTACTGCCGTGCTCTTTTTAAGCTCTTGAAGTTTGTTGTCTATATCCTTAACATCTTCGTGGGATTCCTTTAAGGAAGAGATTTTGGACGTTACATCAGGTGCTTCTTGTACAGTTTCTTTCTTATTATCTTCTTTATCAATTCCTTTTTTAGCCTCTTCTTCCATAGCTTTTTTGTCTGCTTCATCTATGAGGTGCTTAATGTCAACTTTTTCATGTTCAATTTCTTGGAGAGCTTCATCTACCTTATCAAACTCATAACCGTTTTCGACTTCACATTCAGAATCCGTATCTTTGTGAGATGATTCGTATTTTAATTTCTCATTTTCAATTAATTCTTTACTAATCTCTTTGTCTAAATCTTTCGATTTAATTTCTCGTTCTAAATCTTTAGTAATAAATTCTGACACTACTTTATCTTTCAACGCTTCTTCAAGTTCTTCCTTTTTATTAAGTTCGTACTCTGTAATTGCCTCAGCGATTTTTTCATCCTTTAAGGCGTCTTTTAAGTCTTCTTTTTTATCTTCAATTGCTTCGAGAACCTCGTCCTCTTCTTCTTTAGTTACAACAACCCATTCGTCATCGACAGTTTCACTAAGTTTCTCTTTAAGTAAAAAGTTTTCAGCATCAGTAACTGGTTTTTCTTTGGTCTCAAGTTCAGCTTTTTCTAGGACGGAGATTTTTTCAGTCTCTTCTTTTAAATCTGCATCTCCAGTCACCGAACTGGCCAAATCTTTGGTTTCTGTTTCGTTATCTTTGGAGCTTTCTTTTTTAACGTCTATTTCTACTTTTACTTCAGTTTTTTCTAAAGCTTTGCCTGTTTCGTCTTTATCTTTTTCTTCTGGCTTCTTAACGTCTTTACTTTGCTCTTTGCTGGTGTAAGCATCATTAGATTTCTTCTCGTCGGCGTGGAAGTCATGATAATCGGCTTCTTCATGCACAGGTAAGTCCGCTACTTCATCAGGAGTTTTTACGATATCTCTTATATGTTTTTGTTTATCGATAGGTATTCCTACAATCGGAGGCATTTTAGATTGACTGTCCTGTAAGCTCTTTGGCGGTAATTGAATCACAGGTATTTCTTTCTCTTTTGTTTCCTCTTTAACATGCTTCTCTTCGATAACTTGCCCGTTATCTTCCTTTATTTCATCCAGAGTAATACGCTCATCTTCAGGGAGAGTTGGAGCTGTAGTAGTAGCACCAGATTCGATGGTAGCAGATATTTTTTCTTCTGGATGCGACTCTACAACATCTTTAACTTCTTCTTCGGCTATTTCTTTTTTGTCTGCTGCTTTATCTTCCGGAGAAGATATAGGAATCTTCTTTTCTTCGGGTTCGGGTGCTACGACTTTAGGAGACGGTGCTTTGTGTTGTTCTTTGGCAGCTTCAATTTCTTTTTCTTCTGCGCTAAGTTTACGTTGTTTCTCCGATTCTTCGCTGTCTCTAGTTAGTTTCTGCATTTCGTCCTCTTTTGCTTCTTGGTCTAAAGAGTCATGTTCGACTTCTTCCTTTTCTATAATAAGGTATTCTTCGACTTCCAGCTTATCATCGATGGAAATATCTTTAATTTTTCTTGCATCTGGATCTGTAGTTTTTTCTACAGTCCCTTCACCTTTGCGGAATACAGCCTCGATTTCCTTGATAGCTTCTTGTTCTTCTTTAAGCTCTTCCAACTCACGTTGCTTGAGTTGCTGGATTTCTTCCGGTGTTAGTTTGGATATGTCTTTCTTCAAAATGCTTTCCTGATCTGCTGAAGGTGTGCTGACAGTGCTGGAATCAGTTGTGCCTTCTTTATCAAGTTTGCCTCTTTTGGAGATTGAATCGGGCTTTTGTACTCCGTTAGTCATCTGAAATAGAATGCAAATTACAAGAAATATGAAATTTATTAACGCTAGATTATTTTAATTGCAAGTTTACCTGTTAGTACTTAGCTTGGGGTACTGACCTTTTTAATAGGGCTAGGTGGTCCCTTGGCTGTCTTAGGTCTTCTAGAAATAGGCTTTCTCTCAGGCTTAGGCTTCGGTTCGGATGTTGGAGCGGGTTTAGGAACTGGTTCCTTCTTGGATGGTGCCCGTTTACTTTCAATGACCTTGCGGTTGTTGGCATCTTTGGTACTTTTTGCTGGAGTAGCGCTTGGGGACGGCTTGCTGGGTGGTTTTTTGTCTTTGTCCTTAATGTCGCCGTTTGTTTTGTTTTCGGCTGTTTTCTTTGGCGTAGTTGGACCTAAAGAAAAAGAAATTGGAAACATTAATAACTGTTCTCCGAAGTGCCGAAGTTAAGCGACTATAGACGATCGAACCGATTGGACGGGTGATCTCTGAACACATAATTAAGTTCTGTTAAGGTCAATTAATAAACTACTAAGTAGAGATGAGCAGGAATTCGCAAACCGTGATTTTAAAATCGCAATCGCAACCAGCGATTGGCTCTCATAAGAAACTGCGATTGCGACTTCTTCTAGTTGTGAGTTTCTTTGTTGCGATTTTGCTGCGATTGTGATTGTGTAAACTGGGACTGTGATTTCTATCTGCGAGTTTGAATTTTTAGTAGTTGTGATTTGCGATATTGTTGCGAATATAATTTTGTTGTCTGTTGAAGCGTTTTATGGTAAACTTCGATTGCATATTTTCTCTGATGTTATTTATTTATAAAGAAGGTATTATTTTCTAGGGCCACGATCAAATAATATAACGGGTGTTTCTCAAGAGTGGTTCACCTCTATAACTTTTTTATTTTGTTTGATAAAAAAACAGATTTGGTATGTTAGTATATGACGTAAATTAGGAGTGATTGGCGTATTCAATTGTTTTGGGCTACTTCCTGTTTCAGCGGAAATGACTACAACTTTTGATTTTTAAATAGCACCCTCGGTATTTTTTTACTTTATTTGATAGAAAATGATCCTCTGAATAGAATGGCATATCATATGACAACTTTTAACATTTTCGCTTAAAAAAACGCATTTTAAATTTCAATCTAGAATGTCATATTTTTTTCTATCAAATAAAGTAATAAAAATACTGAGGGTGTCATTAAAAACATAAAATCGAAAATATTAGCCATGAATTACACTACCGAAGAAAAAGTATTGATGATTAAATTGTATTATCAAGGAAATAGTTATCAAAAGGTGTGGGACATGTTTGCTGCTCTGTATCCGAATAGACCGATACCTGGAAAATCTACAATAGCAATGAATATCCAGAGATTTGAGACCAAAGGTACCCTAATAAATAACTGCAGATGTGAAGCAAGACAGGAACAAAGAGAAGATGCAAGGAATGATACCGACTTGGAAGTTTTATTGTGCGTGGAAGAGAACGATGGAAAGATCAGCACAAGGAAACTTGAGGATGAAATAGGAATAGATCACACTACAGCGTTTCGAATTTGGAAACGACATAAATACTATTCCTTCAAAAATGAAAAGCACCAAGAGCTACGAGATGGGGACGAAATACGGCGGCAGGCGTTTTGTTTTGATATGATGGAAAGAGCAAACACAGATAGAGAATTTTAAAAAAACATATGTTTCACTGACGAATGCACGTTTACCTTAAATAATGAACCCAATGTTCAAAATTATCGATATTGGAACAAAGAAAACCAACACAGGTTTGTCGAAACAAGGACGCAATATCCACAGAAAGTAAATGTTTGGGCAGGGATATTCGGACACAATATTATCGGGCCATTATTTCTTACGCAAATTTAAATGCAGAATATTATTTGGAAGTACTCGAAAATCATATTTTACCTGCTTTACATGATGCCGCTAGGGAAAATCAGGCAGTTTGGTACCAAATGGATGGCTGCCCGGCACATAGTACCCTGGCTGTTCGGGAATATTTAGACAATAGTTTTAACGGAAACGTTATTGGCCTAAATCATATAGTAAATTGGCCAGCAAGGTCTCCTGATATTTCGCCAAATGATTTCTTTCTCTGGGGCCATTTAAAAAACAGGATATACAAGGATAAAAAATACCCAAATCTAGACGAGTTAAAAAATGCTATTTCTGCCGAATGCAATAAAATTTCAGTTTACCAACTAGCGAATGTAAGAAGAGAATTTTATGATCGCCTGGGTTATTGTCTAGCAGTCGATGGAGGAATATTTGAACATCTTCTTAAATCCTAAAGTTCTAACAATTTAATAGTACGTAAATTAATAAGTTTATGAATATTGTAATAATACTATAATTAACCTTGTAATTGATTACTTTATTTTACTTTAATTCATATTAATTTGTATTTATAAATACATCTTTAAGATTTCCGATGTAGGAATGAGTTTTCAATAATAACAAAGCACTAAATAGGTAAATTTCTGAAATGACAACTTCATTTGACAGTTATCTTTTACCTTGACTGGTGCTCATAAGTAAATACAGGGCCATAAGAAAGGAGAAATATTTAAAAAGAAATCGGCGATAACTCGTAAACGAGCTAATCAAAAATATCTGAAGTTATTCTTTTGAATGTGGGTTTTAGTGCTCTTCAATAAACCTAAATAGAATTATTCTCTAAAATAATTAGGGAAGTCAATAATTGACCCCATTAAAATTTACATGGGATTTCCTATGTCCCGTCCGACGATGCAACGCCCGGTATGATATGTCATTCGATTCAAAGTGTCATTTTCTATCGAATAAAGTAAAAAAAATACCGAGGTGCCATTTAAAAATTAAAAGTTGTAGTCATTTCCGGTGAAAGAGGAAGTTACCGAAAACAATTGAATATGTCAATCAATGCTATTTTATGTCATATACTAACATACCAAATCTTGTTTTTTAACTTAAAAAATAAAAAAAGTTATAGGTATTATAAAGTGAGTTTATAATCATCTGCTGGTGATGCTAACATGGTTAGCGAAACGCGCGTCCAGTGTTAAAGTAAAAGTGTTTTGGTGTATTGTGGTGATTTAGTGTTTTATTTTGCTCCATTACCTAGTACAATATTTAACTATTAAAATCGCAATCGCAGGTCGCAGTCGCTGTCGCAGTTTCGCTTATCTCTACTACTAACCCTTTTTGTCTTGGACTGGTTTACGTTTCTGACTTTCACTCCTCACTTTCGTAGCTTTACTATCACCAACTCCCTTCGGTTTCTGCTTAATTTTCTCTTCATTCTCACCGATCTTCCCAACATCTTCTATCTTCCTTGACTCGTCCTCCTTTTTAATCTTCTTATCCTTATCACTCTCCACAGAATCCGATTTTTTCACACCCTTTTCCTTAATATCTCCATTGATCTCTCCATTCTTTATCACGTCCTCTTGGATAATCTTGTTTTCAGTTTTCTTTTCACTTATCAGTTTAGGGGCTGGCCTGTCGATGATTTCTTGCCTAGTTTTTCTGACCGGAGCCAGAGATTTCTCACTACAAACTGGATGCTTGATGCACTCAACTCCTTTGAGTTTATCAAAACCTTCCAAAATCTTCCTTTGAGGAGTGCTACCAGGGTACAAAATTCTGGTAATTGTATCGTTAGGATTTGCTGGTTGCCAGACTAGTAAAGCACAAATAGAAACTAAATTCTGTAGAGGAAAACTAAATTCTTTTCCACTTCGACTACTGGCAAATAATTTTGGATCACTCTGATTCCATTTTTGGAGGAACTCGCGTACTTCTCTGGAATGCTTGTCTGGAGAGAGCACGTACATGTTTAGAGTACCATGGCCTACTTTGTGGTAGAGGATAACAGGTTCATTTTCTCTGTAGCATGTTTGGGGTGACAGGCTGAGGTGTTTGAGGTCTTGAACTATGCTCTGACCTTCTTCTAATAAACTGATTATGAGAGGGTCCTTGTCTTTGTCTCCGTCAGGACTAAGAAGCGATTTCCTTTCCTGAAACAATAATTAAGCAATGAAGTCTATTTTTATTGCAGAATTTTTGAAGTAAAACTTCCTTACGAGTCGAAAAGTACGGCGGCAGTGTTGCCACAGCTACCCCATTCGGGGTAGATCTACCCCTTTGTAAAACAATTTAATCCCGTTAATCTACCCCGATGAAAAATAAGCTTGTGGCAACACTGGGTAACAATCTGGGCCATACGCGGCTAAGAAAATCACTATAATAAACTTGAAACTGTACCAACCTTGATTTCATGCATATTTTCATCGATAGGTTTGTAGCTTCTGAATAACGGTCTAGGTAAAGCATCTAGCTCATTTGCCAGCTCAGATTTAGAATTTAGAGTTAGTAACTCGCATTTTCATTGGAGGACACTATCATAATTATTTCAAACCAATAATCAACGAGAATATTCGTATAATTTAATAAAATTACTGTAAATCACTATAAATAATGAATTGTTTGTAATTAAGCTGTAATTTCTGAGATAAACAATTGCGATTGATTAAAATTTTATTTTAAGATGAAACTTTTGTCAACACCATTCTGAGAATTCGAATAATGAATTGAATAATGACAAGACAAGTGATATCTGTCTAAAAAAGACAGCGATTTAGAGTGACGATTTGGTTATGTAAAATTTGGAGTGACAATTTTAATTATGCAAAAAAATACTTGTTTTGTTTTATTAATTTAAAAATATATCCCCAACATGAATAATGAACAAAATATTTAAACAAAACAGACCATAGATTACACAAAACAAATAGTTGGTTAGTAGCAGTTAGTAGTAGTCAGAGATATAGATGTAGTAGTATTTTGGTTTAATGGCCACTGCTATCTGGCCGCGTAATATTTTTTTTTTCAATAAAAATTTAAAAAACATTATAAATTATAAAGCTAAAATAGTATACGGTTTCATTCATATAAAATATATATCCTTCAAATCCTTGAATTCAGTAGGTATTAGTAGTGATGGGAATACCGGTTCCACATGAGTCGCGTTACAATAGCGACCGTTCCAGAAAAATACCGCGACAAAATACCGCGATTTTGTAACCGAGGTTCCGACTTCCAAAGTGTCGCGGTTCTCGCTAAAAAATATCTAACTTATCTATATTTGTAGACTAATATAACTTTTATCCGTCACTCATTTTCCAAATATCGAGTTTATAATTGTGTATAGCCAAACTATCTCATTTTTAGAAAAATGATGACATTCCTTGTTATTTTCCATCAATTTTCGTTTAAATAAAATCAACGGCTCATATTTATGTGTTTTACAATATAATATATTTACTGTTAAAATCAAGAACAAAGTCCAAACCACTGTCAAAAAAATTGTTTATTGGCCAACCTAACCTTAAAAATCGACATAAACAATAAAATTTATATAAATGTATAAAAGCAAATAAAATATTTTTATTTTATTTTATTTGCTTTTGCGTATCATCTTTCAAACAACGCTATTTTATTACATACCAAAAATCGCTATTTCGAAAGTAACGTAGCGACGGCGACGGGAGCACCAACGCCAATAGTAACCGACCAAATCGCGACAGGCGAAACCGGAACCCTAGAAGCGCTCCAGCGACTGCTGGAACGAAGTACGTCGCCTCCGAGGTCGAGCGTCGATAGCCAGTTACAGCAGGGACTAGTTACTTCTGTTCGCGACAGACGGAACTACGGCTCTAGGAGCGCGACGGCTGGAGCGAAATTACGTCGCCGCCGAGGTCGAGCGTTGATAATCAGTTACAGCAGTTACCAGTTACTTCTGTTCGCGACAGGCGGAACTACGGTTCTAGGAGCGCGACGCTACGTATATACCAGTGCCAGTGACTACTGACGAAATCGCGACGGCTGAAGCTAAACACGTCGCTATTCGGTTACTACGGTTCAAGCTAACTTCAAGAGCGATTTTAAATAATTTATTTGCAAATTATAAATAATTTATAATTTTGTGGTCATTATGATCGTCGTTCTTCTGTAACAGGTTCCTGATTCGTTGTGGAGCGCGACACGACGTTACAAAAAAATACCGCTCCAAAATCGCGTTACTCAAATACCGACACATAACTAGCTGTCAGTAAGAAGTTTCACTTCAAATATGCCCACATAGTGCACACACAATTTTTTCCCTACTTTTTTTGCCAAAATACTCTTTATTTTAGCTTTATTTAATTCAAAATTTCGATCTTTTAATGCTTACTACTTTATACTTAATATACTTTATAAAAAATTATTCATGTATCTTTTACCTGAATGTTACAGAAGAAATGTCCAATCTGTGGATACACAGCACCTTGTTTCTTTCTTTGAAGTACAGAACTGATTCCACTGACACTGCTGTTGTTCAGTCTGGACACTAGAACAGCATCCAACCTGTCCAAATGTCGTACGAAGTCCCAGAAGCATGCTTTGCGTGAATAGCCTCCGTCCAAAAGCATGTTGAAGCCGTTTATGCCAAAGAGAGCAGCATCACCCTGACCACCTGGAAAGAAAATACATTTTTTTTAAATAAATGAAGAGCAACACCAAATACTTATTAAGATTTTAAATCGTTAACTAAAAAATATAAATATTAAGCATTTTGGGGACTGATTTCAACGTGGTTCCCTTTGTGGTTCCTAAAGCTTGATTTTCATGAGTCCGTTATCCGTTGGTATGATGGTCCGACGGCGCTCTGATTGGTCATAGCGTTTTCGCGCCACTTTTCCACCAGAATTTTTTTACTCCAGCCCGTCAACGGAGAAAGATCGTACGATAACGGACGTTTTGACTTTTTTTGACAAGCTTAATCTAACCTTAATAAAAATATAATAGTATACTCTGTCTTTTTTCTCAAGAAAGATTTCGACAGACGATGACAGAAGATAAGCAGATGACGTCCCATACCAATCTATTTATTTTATTAAAAAAAGTTTCTAATATTTTTTTAAGTTAACTATGGATGGGTTTAAGTATAAATCAGTTTTATTGGTTTATTTCAAAAATGATAGATCATATTTTAATTTTATTGGTTTGACGGAACGGTGAACGACAAACGGACGCCAATGAGGCTTGTCAAGGTCTTGCCAAATTATAGGTTATAATTTTGTGTCAACCCATGTCAAATACCCTGCGTTTTGGAAGATGATGCATTTTGATTCGTGTTATTACGTGTGTTTTGTGTCTTTTGAGGTCAAGTGGAGGAAAAATCGAGAAAAAATTAACTGTAGACCTAGGGCACAGTTTATAGTTAATAATCGCTGCCCAGGCAGAAAGACTTATACACCAATAAAGTTACAATCAATAAAGCTTGTATACCATCTCGTCGTAGATAAGTGCATCTCGTATATGGTACAAGGATCGTGCTAAACATACGTTAAAAACTGGAGTAGGTGTAAAATATCGACATCACACGATAGGTAAATAATGGATTTTAGTACTGCAGAAAAATAATGTCAAAAGGTACTGGTTTAAAAAAATTAAGATTAAAGTTAATTAATCAACCTTTAAGGTATAAAATTTGGTAAGTGTTATTATTAATACAATAGTTTGTTTTATTTTTTCCTGTGGAATATTACAAATTTGTATTTGTACATAAGTTATATTGATAAATATAATAATAAATACGGGAAGTTTCTTGAAGCTTGGAAGTAAGAAATAGTTCTTTTTTATATTTTTTTGGTATGTGGTGTTTTGTTCTGTCAAGGCTCTGGTCGTTGGACAGACTATACAAGAGCTAACAACGTCGGGAAAATGATAATTTTAAGAAAGCTGGTTCTTTAATATATCTTTTGCTATGTTCTCCTGACCAAAGTGGGGGCCGTCTGGCTGCCGATAGACTACTGTGTACCACATCCGTAAGGGTATCCCATTTTCGTGTGTTTTATGGGATTTCACGTTTATGAGTAGAGATTCAATCATTCGATTTTCACATTACGTCGCTACTTTTTTATGAAGCTAAATATACTACACATAGCTTTGTCTTACCCTCCTTAGTTCCTAAAATACAGTACGAGTTTTTGATGCGCAGTAGTAAACAGATGTTGAATACAGATATGATGCGCAGTAGTGAACGCAACGTCTACAGACAGCCAAACGGTCCGCACTTTATTCAGTAGAGCATAGCAAAAAATATATTAAAGAACCAACTTCCTTAAAATTATCTCTCAAAAACGTTGCTAGCTTTTAGACTATAAATAAAAAAGCGAAATCGTTATGGAAATGAAAAAGATAAAATGACACCAATAACAAGCAAATCGTATATCCGATGAACGGAGGCATGAAAATGCAATAAATTTAAAAACTGCCTAAATTTCTAACCAATCGAAGTCTTTAAATTCAACCAATCAAATTAATATCGTATCATCGTATCGTCGGATAACGGATGCATAAAAATCAAGCTTAATTAACCGATTTGGTTGACAACTTTATACAGGGTCCGGCAATAGTGCGTCGGGCATCTGTAGCTCCTAGAATAAAAAACTTTTGTTTAAGTGCAAACCTAAAGTATGTACCAGGATGTATTTCAGGAAAATATTTTAACTTCTATAGGGTGGCTCAAAAAAGTGTGAGTGGACCTGGATGATTTTTTTTAAAATGGAACACCCTTATATTATTGCATTTTTGGCTTTCTTTCCGATCACTTTACATAACCTAAGATATGAATAAATACATTTCGATAGTTTCAGAGATATTAAAATAAAATCAAAATATATATATTTTTCAGCCCTTTCTTAAAAAAAATTATTAAAAATACAAGAACTGTTCTGAAATCAAAACTATATTAGGTATTTACTTCAGATGGTTTGTACTTTGCTATAAATATGAATATCGTAAGTTATACAGGATGTTCAAAATTCTACATTAAACTTTCTAAAATATAAAATAATTTTTCTTCGTTTTTAAAATGAAACACCCTGTATATTATTTTTTCAATAGACGGAGAATTAAAATGAACATTTTTGTATTTACAGCATTTCAAAATTTTTAACGGTTTCGCAGATATTTGCGGTTTTATATTTCATATGGCATTTTCCACAGTAAATTTTTATCAAAGCCACCCAATGATTTTTCTCTCGTATTTTACCATTGAAAGCGCCATATAAAATAATACTGCGTGTATCTGCGAAACCGTTAAGAATTTTGAAATACTCTAAATACAAAAAATTTTCATTTTTAAACTCTCCATCTAATAAAAAAAAATATACAGGGTGTTCCATTTAAAATAACAACGAAAAAATATTTTATATTTTAGAAAGTTTGGCATAGAATATTGAACATCCTGTAGGATTTACGATTACCATATTTATAGCAAAGTAAGAATAGACCATCTAAAGTAAATACCAAGTATAGTTTTGATTTCAGAACAGTTCTTGTATTTTTAATAATTTTTTTAAGAAGGGCTGAAAAATATATATTTTTGATTTATTTTTTAATATCTCTGAAACTATCGAAATATATTTATTTATATCTTAGGTGTATGTAAAGTGATCTGAAAGGAATCCAAAAAAGCAATAATATACAGGGTGTTCCATTTAAAAAAAAGCATCCAGGTCCACTCACACTTTTTGAGCCACCCTATAGAAGTTAAAATATTTTCCTGAAATACATCCTGGTACATACTTTAGGTTTGCACTAAAACAAAATTCTCAAGTATTTTATTCTATGAGCTACAGATACCCGACGCACTATTGCCGGACCCTGTATAACTTGACAGGGAATAAGTTATATTAGATAAATATCACTTTTATTGTTTATTTCTGATTGGATTGTGATTTTTGCTATTTAACTTTTTAAGGAAAAAAGCATACAAAAAACAATGCAAAAACTGCAATATACAGTATGTCCCCGGATTGTCTTAACAATAGGAAAAACTTTTTTATTATTAACATTTGGATAAAAAATGTATTCTTCATAAAAAGTTTTGCTTGTTTTAAAATGGTTAATCTCGTTTATACTTTTCCAAATTTCCAAACCATTTTAGAGAAAATTAAAAAACATGAAAATATGGTTGAATTTTTTCCTAAAAATCCTAAAAATTAAAAGGCGTTTCTATGGCAATATCACTCCGAATTCATTCTTTGAGAGATTGTTATTGATAGAATTTTAATTTACGTCATATTTTTTGTTATTTTAAAATATTAAAGAAGCACAAAATTTATTTAGTTCAGTGCTACGGAAAGCATGTTAATACTTATCGGAAAATGTAATAGGTTTTCTATTACATTTTTTAAAATTTAAATAACTTTTTTAAATTTTCTCTGAAACGGTATGGAAAAGTATAAACGGCATTAACCATTTTATAACAAGCAAAATTTTTTATGAAGAATGCATTTTCACTAAATGTCAATAAAAAAAAAGTTTTTCCTCTTGTAAATACAATCCGTGGACATACTGCAGTACCTAGAATAAAATTTTATAGTCTCTGTGATCATAAGGTTCAATTAAACAAACAATAAGTACTTAAGAGCCTTTGAAAATAAAATTTATACACGCCACACTGAATTTTTTTCTTTAAAAGTCATTCTGGGCTGTTGAATATGTAAATTGAAATATAACTGCGTCGAAATGTATAGGGAAAAGAAACGCAAAGAAAAAAATTGCTTGTTCTGTATTTTCATTCATTGGAAGAAAATGTAGAGAACATTCATTTTTAGTTGAAAACTGGGATTTAACAAGAGGTTTTCTTTAGAATGTAGGTAGACTTTTTTTTGTTTAAGTAAAATTCCGACTTTCTTTGTATCTTTTGTGTTAAATTTACGCCTCAAAAAGTCTGTTTCTAACGATCCTTTAAAAATTATTATGTCAAATAAATTTAAATTACTATAGCAAACAAAAATATATAGGTTTCGGTAAAGCATTTTTATTTCATTATGGCCATCGTTAATAAAATATAGCTTATGAATAACTAAATGTTGAGGGTTTTATATTACCTTGTTGGATCAGGCTCGGAAAATTAAATTATTAGTCAATCAATAAGTTAGCTCACATATGTCTATGTCAATAAATTTTTTAAAGGTTTCTATTAGAATTGGATCAAGGCAAATTATTAAAATTGCGTTTATCTCATCAAGGAGGCCGAAATCGACAAAATATCAAGAGACAACTTTTAATCGGCATTAAACTGCTTAAACTATTTTTCTAACAAGAGAAAAAAGGTTAGTGGTGTACATGCATTTTTTAGAAAAATTGTGACTTTTCTGTCGTTACCCAAATAGAATGAACAAAGAATCCGTTGCTCAGGGTTAGAGGAAAGCTGGGTTCGTAGGTAAGGCTTCTGACTCACAATGACTTTCTAATGTTGTTAAATATTAAAATAAAAAATGATAATATATAGACTGCAGAGATTTTAATATTGATGTTAATAGGTATGGTCAAAGACAGTGAAAAGGGCGCCACTTACTTTGTTTATGAGAGTGGTAAAGTAAGAAACCAAAAAGAAAAATGCGATATCACAACATAGCTAAAATAAAGTAATCAACAGCATTAAGGGACTATTATGTT